AAAAAAAAAAAAAAAAAAAAAAAAATATTTTTTTTTTTTTATTTCTTTAACGAAATGTTTTACTAACATTTCGATTTTCTCTTTTCTTTTTTTAGACGGTCAGTCCTTGGGCGCGTATTATTTTGGTAGGGCTTTTTGAAAAAAAATCTTTTTCTTTAATTTCTTTCTTTTTAATGAAACGTTTTGCTAACGTTTCGTTTTTCTCTTCTTTTATCTTAGACAGCAAGCACTTCAGGATCTTTGGATACGCGGAACTTCACTTTCGGTAAGTTTTTTCTCTGTTTTAGTCTATTTATTTTAACAAAACGCATTTTAACATTCAATTTTATTCTTGTTATTTAGATAGGGCTAAACGTTTCGTTCTTTCTTTTGGAGATTTTATTAAAATGAATTTAAATTATAGTTATAAAAATGACCGAGGAAGTAATCATGAAATTACAGATTTTGAAAAACAGTAAGTGAAAACAACAGTTCCGTATTCTCTTTTGACGGCAAAATGAGAACCAGAAGTGGAATTTGGTAGTGAGCTAACCTTTATGATTTTTTTTTTACGCTTCTTTTCAGTACTAATATTTCATGTTCCTCTTTTTTTAGATGGCTGATACTTCGAATTTCTTTAGACATGCGAGAATTTGGTGGGTGGGTTTTTCTTTGAGACAGTTAAGTTTCAAAAAAAAAAAAATTTTTGAACTTTAAAAAAAAAACATTTTTTGTGGGAACTTTGGTTCCAAATCGGACATGGCAGAATCAGGTAAGTTCTTAAAAATTATTTAAAGACCTTAAAAACATTTTATTGACGTTTTTTCTATTATATAGGTCCTGGATCATATTTTTAGTGTTTCAAAATTTTTGAAACTTTCCTTTTGTAGATTTGAATGGACTAAACCATCAGAAGAGATAAAGTAAGTTTCATCATGAACTTTGCTTCTTTTAATTTTTTAATAAAAGAAACGTATTGTTAATGTTTCTCTATTTTTTTTTTGTAAGATTCGAATTCTGACCATGGAAGATTAAGTTTACGTATGTATCATTACAAAACTTAGTTTTATTTTATTTTTCTTTTAACTTTGATATTTTAACGAAGTCTTACATCATTTGCTTCTTTTTTTAGACGGCTAGTTTTTTAGATCTTTGAAGTTTTGACATGTAAAATTCATGTTAATTTAGTGGGATTCTATTCTTATTGTAAATTATTCTTTAATTGTTTCTCTCCTTTTTAGATGGATTGTTCTTCGAGTATTTGTAAGAGTAATTCGTTATATCATTCTCCGGAAATCTCAGTGCATGGAATTCGGTAGATGATCTTTTCTTTGAACTATTTTTCTAACGGAATGTCTATTAACATTTCGTTTTACTTTTCTAGTCGGGTATAGATGTGTGAAATTAGTTGGATTATTTCTTTTATTAGGCAGCCAGTTTTTCGGGTCTCTCTGACTCTTTTTGAACATGTTGGTTTTTGGATTTCGGTAAGTGTATTTTTTTCATTAGTTTGTTTATATTAATGAATGTTACTTCATTCTTTTTTTTTCAGGAAATTTTTTTCGTTTCTTTTTAATAGTATTCGCATCTACACCAAAAAAACAAAGAATGGTAAAAAAATGAACACTTATAAGGATATAAAGTAGTTGTATAAAGAAAATGAAAATAAAAGAGAAAAGAAACTTGATTGCAAGGAAAGAGAGAAGAGTAATTAAATGAGGATAGAGGAGGATTGACATCTTACGTGTGATGAACCATAGAATTAATTTTTAGATAATATTACATTAAATAAATAAATTATAATGTATTTTATAATTAAATTTTACAATATATTTTCAATAAATATTACAATAAATTTTACAGTATATTTTTCAATAAATTTTATAATATATTTTACAATAATTTGCTACAATTTATATTAAATATACATGTTAATAAATTAATGTTACAATAAATTTTATACTAACTATTGTACAATGTCCCTACAAGACCAATAACGAGTATCTTAACATGGTTTGTATATAATATACTGTAATATTAATTTTACAATGTATTTTAGAAATTTTAGGTTGTTAGCAAAGAAAGTCTTTTGCCCAACTCTTCATTAATTTCTACATTATTAATAAGTTAGATTATATTAATAATATATAAATAGGTTCATATAATAGTAATTAATACCTCAAAATCATCCAACTCTCTTTCAGTAAATGCTAATTTTCTTGTTTTTCTATATATATCATTCCATTTTAAATATAAACCTGTTAATTTGCTATCCAATCCTCCATTATCTAATAATCCATCAAGTACAAATGGCATAACTCGCATCATATTATTTCGATACTCAAGTGCAGTAAAACGAGCAAGATCTGCTAATCCATTATGGAAAATTTTTAGTCCATGATGTCGTGGAATAGCTGCAAGTCTTGTATCCATTTTTTCAACTAATGCATTTCCTCCCTGATTCTTTAATAAATTACGTGTAAATTCAATCATGTAAGGAAAAAGTCCAAGATCAAGGTGATGCATTTTTTCTGGCACTGTTGCACTATAAATATTAAAATTCCTTAAATAAAATGTCAGTAAATTATTTAATAATATTATCAAAAACATTTATTAAAAATACATACGGTAAATTCCAAAAGGCATTATTCTGTTCATGAATAGAATGCTCTTTTGTCAAACCAGAATTGATGGCAGTTTGCATATTCTGTTGTGTTCTTGGTAACATTTCTTCTGTTGTCAAGTTAATTTTATTTAAATTATTCCGATCAACAAGACAAGTATGACATGGATTTTTACATTTTGATCCACCATATGTTAAACAATATTTTCAGGACCCCGAACAATACTAATATAGGTAGGAGCTGAAGATGCGTCATCATCTTAGTAGCTATCAATATGTTAGAGTTTGGGAATGCGTACAATCATCAAAAATTTTTGATAGGGTTAGAATTTGATTTTGCGTAATTTTGATTGGATTTTAGGATGGTAAGATGTTAGATTTGCTTATTTTTGGTACATTTTTGGAAATAAGTTTCCTTTTTTTGTAATAATTTAATTTTATTAACGATCATAAAATAAAATTTTTTTTCGAAAAAAATCTTTTCTGTATTGCATACATAATATTTCATTGGAAATATGGTAAAGAGTGATTGGCTCATATTATTAATGCAAATCAAATTAAACCGCAGATATGAAGAAGATTATTTAAATAGTCATGTAGCATGTTCAGGATATAAAGAAGACGAAGACAGAGAACAATTTGATACAACTAATAAAAGAGCAATTAAAATTTTAAAAACTGACTTGAAGTTAGAGGATTAGAATGCGTATTTTGTAAAAATTTCAGGGGTTAGGAGCTATGAATGCGTACTGATCATAGTCAAAAGTGCTGCGTACAGCTAATAGTAAATTTTTTTTTCTGGACCTTACCTATATCAGTATTGTTCGGGGTCCTATATTTTCCATTTTCTGGCCAATCTCCTAATATCATTGCCACTACCATCGTACACCATACATAACTATTGCCAACTTTCAGCTGTATACCTGTTTGATGTTGAACTCGGATTGGAGCAAGAAGAATCTCAAAACATTTATAAAAAGTAATTCTAATTGCTTTACGAAATTCTTCAGTTTCTTTTATTTGTTTAGAACTTTCTAAAATTGGTATTAGTCCAACAAGTGTTTTTGATTCAGGTTTATTACGAAGATTGGTTGGAATATTTCCAATAGTAACAAATATTGGGTGGCGTGAACTTTTTCCAAAATGATCAAGCGTAGTTGCATCTGAATAAATATAATTGGTACAATCTTACTACCATAAGGCGCATGATTAACTGCTTGCTTCCACCAATTGCAATTAAACATTTCACTATAAGAACGTTCTTGACCATCCTAAAATTGGTGAATTAATATTATTAATATACACAGAAAGAAAATATCTCATATAAATATTTAAATATTACTTACTTCTTGATTAATACAAATTTCATTATAATCAAATACCAATTCTTTTGCAATTTCAGCATTGCTTACAATTTCCTCAATTCCTGATAAAATTGGCCGATATTCAAAATTGTATTGAATATTGTTAATATTGATTATAGGTATTGAGTTGAATAAAGTATGTTTTTTCTTTAAATTATCTAAGAATTGAAGGCCAATACGAGTGGAAGGTGGTAATGTTTTTTTAGGAAAATTTGCATGAGTGCGAAGAAATTTGAGAAATGCATCACCAACATTATTAGAAAGTTTGTGATGCACTACCTAATTAACCAAAAATTAGTATTTGAAATAATGAATTATTAAGAACAAAAATGTTTTAAAATACTTAACAAGTTTTACAAAATCACGATAAATCTCATTTGGGAAATTTTGTTCATCGCTATCAGAAGAGGTTTGATCATCATTTTTAGAAAAGGTGGAATTTGCCATTTCATTTATATTGGTTGTAGGAATTGAATGTTCAATAATAGGAACAGGTAAATTATCAGATATAATCTCATTTTCATCACTTTTACTTGATTCTTCAACTTTGTCACTTTCATATGATTCTTCATCATCATTACTTTCATCACCTTCATCATCATTATTATTATAAATATAAATATTATCTTTTTCTGAAAATATTTGATTTGAAGAAAATTCCTCTGAGGACTCTTCATCTGAACTTGTCTCTTGCTCGCTACTGCTTATTTTATAATTGAAATTGTGACTTCGGCGATGATTATAATAACTTGTTGAACGATCAAAAGTTTTAAAGCAAATATTGCATGTCCACATTTTCTAAAATGCAAAATAAAAGAATTCATCAAAATCAAAAAATAAAAAATCAGTAAAAGTGACCAATATAGAATTGAGTATAAAAAAATATTTAAATATTATACCATAAATTGATACTTGAAAAATAATTTTTTATTTAATTAAGTTTACCATGATCAACTTAAACTAAAAAAGGGCAACAAAGTAAGATGAAAACCTGTCATTTTTAAATTTAAGTACTAGTAAGATTGGTAATACAAATTCTTCTACTAAAATGGTATAAATTGATATTACCTTTAACTCAGAAGACAATGATACTGCAATGATCATTATATAATACAACAGGTTCAATTTAATTCGTATGGCTGAAGTATTAGTCGTAAAATTATGAATTTTTTTATTTCTTTTTTATTTGAATTTGTTAGATTTTGTTTGAACTGAATTTTATCATCTTATTTATGCTAATATAATAAGTTTTTTACTATTGGTAATATCTATTTTGATAACGTAAAATTATATGTTACGCAGTATGATATAAAATAGAATCTTTTACCGATCTACAAACAATAGTGTGATTAGTAATAGTATAAATAAACTTAAACTTTTTAAAATAGTATAAATAGGAATAAACTTTTTATCCTTTTACTTTTACTTTTGCCTTTTACTTTCTCATTTTCTTTTTAATTTTCATATTCCCTGTTATTTACTTTATCTTTCATTATTTTATTTTATTATTCCTTTGTTAATTTTTTTAAACCATGAGGAATCTTAGATCAAATTCAAAGCGTAAAGTGAAAGATCAACAAGACATTGAAACTGTAAATACTATTGAATAATATTTGTCATTTGTATATTTTACAGTACATGTATTTTTTTTTATTTAGATTATTGATAAATTTGAAACAAATACGAACTCTGCATTAAACAATGAAAAGAAAAAACGGAAAACTCATACACAGAAAGTTAACAAGCCACTAGTTTCAAAATCTACAATCAATAAAACATTGACTAGCGATGATACATCTAAGCCATCTAATTTTAAAACTATGCTTAATACTAATGATAATTCTTCCACTCCAAAATTTGTGCTTGATATATCATCATTAACAGATGATATAATTAGTATTACAGATGATAATCTATTGAAAGATTCATCTGAACCACAATTACCAATTACAGTTGAAGATAGAAACGTAAATGCTCCCTATTTACCATTGGTTGACATTGACCAAAATCAAATTCATACTGGTGTTACCAATCAAAATATTAATGGTATGTTTCAAAACTAATATAATTAATAATTAATATATACTAATCTATATAATATAATAAAAAAATACATGTCGATCTTCTAACGTTTAGATTAGCCTGTATAAATAATCTTTGAATTGTATCGCATGATTCACATGATTCATTTGCGCCTAACAGTAATAATTATTTTATATATATACTAGCAGTTACCTGTTGCTTCGCACTGGACCTAATGAGTTTGTTTAAATAGAACAATTTGGTATTATAATGTAAATTAAAAATGGTTACAGTTTTTTGTTTATTAATTAAAACTTGATATATAGTTAATAATTAGTTAACAAAAAAATATTAAAATAAGATATATTAAATCATATTAACAATTAGTAAAATGATATTTACAGTATTAGAATAATATAAATTATATTTAGAAATGATATGAATTATATTTACAATAATGTAGCTATATATTAGAATGATATAATTATAGTGCATTAAAGTAATTTAAATTATATTTACAATAAATGAGTGTTAAATATTTTGAAAAATTTCATTATATACAATGTTTTTTGTCTGACAGTTCTCTTGATGTAATATGAGAATTTTAATTCACTGATATCTATGAGATTTATGCATGTCTGTACAGGTTTGACTTTCATTATTTAATCTTTTTTTACATTGTTCAGGCGGTTTATCTTCAAATGTTTCCTGAAGTGAAGCCATATTAATTTAGTATTAACAAAATATTACATATTATGTTGATGGAAAATTGATGTTTTATATATATTATCACAAAAATAAAATATATGTTGATGATTTATGATTTATCAAAGAACATTTTGATAAAAATAATGTATTTGTGGAATTTATTGTTATCGAAAAATTTTAATATTGAATGAATAATATTAAAAGTTATCATTATTAATATCAAAAAAAATTACATTGTATCCTATTGTTATTGACGAAAAAAATATTGTTATTGACGAAATAAATATAATTTTAAAAAAAAAATAATTGTGTCCCATTGTTATAAGAAAAAAAATCAAAAAAACATTTAATTGCATTTTATTTTAAAAAAATTGGAATCTAATTAGTAAATATCCGACACGAATACTTTGGATCACACTTTCAGGACCTTCAATCTAATCATGAAAAGAGTACATAGTTATAATAATAAGTATTTGTAATCAATAAACGGGCTAATTAATTTTTTTTTTAATTTCAGCAATAAAATAGCAATGATTAGCAATTTGGTATTAATGCTATAATTTACTGATTAATGGATTTTAACCATAATAATATAGATCAAATATTTCGGGAGCAGACAAACCACCCATTACACAATTCAAATTATTTATACAGGGTAATCTAAATACTATAGAATTTTTTTATTTAACTTACTTTAATATGTGCTATATAATGAAAAAATTAATTTATAATATGTTATGTAGATGTATCATATGAAACAGGGATCAAAAATATATTTTATGTTAAATCATACGAAATTATAATATTATAGATAATTTAATTTTATAATAGCTTTTTTTAAAATATCTAAATTTTGGTAATTTGGTAATAAAGCTATGATAATTTCAGTCAACAGAAATGATCGGTGTTCATAGTATGATTTATTATATAAAATGATCGGCATTTGTAATGATAAAATGATGATATAAATGATCAGATTGATCGGTATTCATGATATTGATTTACCGATCCAAAAATTTAACTAAAAAATAACAGATAATAAATCAATAATACAGATAAATACACATTATATCATTATACAATTTTATATGACT